ATGGACTTTAAGTAGTTGGATGAGCAGCTTACTTCTGCATGAAGTAATGCAGCAGGTCACACTTAGGTACCATTAGGATAGCCGAGTGATGCTGGGCTTGGTAGTTAAGGATAGTTATGTAATTGCAAATGTAATTTCAAAATCTTAATAAAGCACTAGCGTGACTACTTAAGGAAAAAAATAATAATAATAATAATATGAATAGCAATTTTCATAATGTAAATAGCAGTTCTTTTTATATATTATATTTATTATCAGTTATTAGTTATTAGTTAGTCAATAGTTATATTCTATAGTAAATAGATAAAAGAATCTTAATTGGTTATTTGAAATGTGATACAGTCACATGATACTGAGTAACATCAGTGATATTATTATCATTTTACAAAACCCAAGTACCTCTATACAAGTTTCATATATTCTAGTACCAAATTACTATACTAAGTGCCATAGTACAAATATCTTTTATATTTCAACATGAATCCTAAATGTTTCTGCATAAACTCCAAGTATCTTTACAAAAATTTTAAGTGTCTTTGTATAGATTCAAATATCTAAACACAAGCCCCAAGTGTTTTAAATACAAATAACAAATAATATAAACAATATTTTCAGTTGATTTGCATAATTCCTACTATCCCAAGCACAATATCATTTAATATTATTTGAACCTTTTTTATCCCAAATATAATGATATCTAATGTTGTTTAAATCTTTATTATTCTAAATACAGTATCAAGTAATGTTGCTCAAATCTCTACTATTTCTGCTAGCTAAAAAGATATATAAATGTATCTTTCTCTCTTTTTTGCTAATTCTAAGTTTCTATATTTTGATCTAAATTTTTCTACCTTTATCTCTAATTTGTAAAAGTGATATTCATTTTTTAGAGTAATTCCTATAGACAAGATTGTTACTATGTATTTGTTTAATAAAGTTAATTTATATACTATTACTATCTTGAACTATTTACCTGTTGCTGTGTAGTAAAATAAACTACTATACCTCTACTTTATATATATTTGCAATAGTTAATCACTATACTGGGTGACATTATTACTTAGTTGTATTGTATTAAAAAGGTTGCAAATCTGTAACAACTTTACTAGATTGTCATATCTCTTAATTTTTAATTATTAATTGTTAATACTATTATAAAAAGATAATTTTTGTAATATTTAAATAAAAAATTAAGAGTATAGTAATCTAGTAAAATGGTCAGGTTGTCAACTTTCCAAGTAGTAGGTTGAGTATTCAAATTCTATTAATAGTAAAAATTTGAATAATTATTTATATAATATTTGTATTATGATAATGTTACAAATAATTAGATTAAGATATTTGTAATGGTGATCACACTAGCATGACTGGCAGGTTATAGGATATTTGTATAACTTGTTATATAGAGAAATGCAAACTGACAAATTAAATGGTGATCACACTAGCATGACTGGCAGGTTATAGGATATTTGTATAACTTGTTATATAGAGGAATGCAAACTGACAAATTAAATGGTGCAAATACTAGATAAGTTTTTGTAGCTATATAAATCTATTGAAATTGGATAACAAGAAGTCTAAAACTTATAAAAAATCATTTTAATATGCATTCTCTTATATCTATTAATGCTTAAGAAGATACTATGTCATCAATAAATATTAGAAAACATGCTATAAAAGAGATTTATGAAATTTGTATAAAAAATAAGTTGTGATTATTGTAAGGATACCTTTGAACTAATTGGTACTCATCTAGTCAATGAAGCTTATAAACTCAATCTATCAAAACTACAATACCTTTAAATAAAATTTTTTTGTTTTTTATAAATAACATTTTAAGATATAAGTATGTGAGAATGAAAACCTAGAAACTGATTATAGTAAATCATTAAATTAGTTTTTAGGTTTTCATTCTTATATACTCATATTTAGTTAAATCCAAATTTAACTATCTGAATTTTTTAATTGTCTATTTTAAACAATAAAAAAATATATTAAATTTTTTTTTTATCTATAAGCAAAACAACTATGAAGATTGAAACTTATTGAAAATTGTTAAACAGCTTTATCTTTAATAATTTAATAACATCAAGTTGAATCTTCTATTTTGAACATTATTTAATGAAGTTATCCTATCACAAAAGAATCGATTATTATAGCTTTTAAATGATACAGTAAATCCATATTGTTGAAAAAAAGAAAAAAATACATGCAACTAAAAAAACTAAAAGAAAACATATTAACATAAAAACAACTAATTCAACTAATTTAGTTGATTCATATTTTACTCAAACCTCTCATTGAATTTGTAATTGTTCAACTTTTGTTGGAAATTACTTTTTAATATATAAATACTTAGTATGACAAGTTATAAATATGCCTAATAGTACATGATAACAGCTGCTTAAAGACAATTTTGAGCATCAAACTACTCTATCTTTTTAGTTATAAAAGATTTAAATAATAATGAAATCACAAAAAGTATCTTATCTATAGCAGTTACATCTATTAAAGTTTCAGAATGTATTAATTTTGATAATCTTAACAATTCTGAAAATAATACCTGTTCTTATATGAAAGAGAATTGATGCTTATTTGAACAAGTGATAAAATGAATCCATACTGAGAAAATGGCCAATAATTGGCATCACATCTGTGCTATAATAGAGTGAAGCTGATTAGTAAATATGAAAGAAGATATACAATCAGTAAAGAGAAAGAGACATAAACAAACCACTTGGGCTTCAACAAGTAAAAAGCCATATTTAATTTATTTACTATGCTTGAATAAATTGAAAATGGTAAAGAACATTGTGATTAATAATACAGCTTTAATTTAACATTTAATTTACATTTGTAATATATATAGTTAATATTTGTAAAGAATAACTAATATACATAAAGAACATATATAATAAACTTCAACTTACCAAGTAAAAAAACAGACAATATAAATAAGAAACAATTTATAATAATGAATTGATGGCTCTTATAATAAAAATTTTTTAAAAGTTCTTTATAAAGTAAATCACTATGTTTCCATACCAAACTCTATTAAAATTTTTATAAAAGTTCATTATAGAATATCATTATCAAAGAGGTTGTAAAGAAAAATTAAAGTGTTCGTTGTCTTAACGGCGATCGCACACTTATATATTGTGGCTGCGCCACGATATACGTTAGATGCATGATCACGTTACTGCACTTTTGATGGTCGCCCTGGATGATTCTTCCGAATTGATTATATGTTTGATATATATATGTGCACATATGTGCACATATGATTCACGAAAAAATGACACATATGCACATATATGCAAATATATGCACATCACAGTCCACTCTACATGGAATGATCTACAAAAATTGGCCAATCACAATGAAAGCCCGCTATGCTGTCGTTCTTCATTTCAGAAAAATAAATTATGTCGCAAATTGACTTGGAGATTTCTAACATTCTTAGTAGTAATGGAATTTGTACGAAAATCTTCAATATCTCACCAATATCTGGAGGATGTGTTAGTAGCGCCTTCAAATTTTCAACCGACAATGGCGATTTTTTTGTTAAGGTAATATGAAAAATTTCTATCACAAAAGTTATTGCTATGGAAACTTCAGACGCGAGAAATTCAATTATAATAAAAAAATAGACAAGTAAAACTCAAAATTCTAAAATGATGTTTGAAGGTAGGTAGCATTTCTAAAATATAGTCAATTTAATCCTTATAAGAATATAAATATTTCGTTTTCCTTCTAAATTTGGAGGTGAAGCAGAATCATTACGTGCTATTGTAGCTGCTGTTCCAGGTTTCACTTCTCAACCATTATATGTTGGATCGTTACTCAGCGGAGGCGCGTTTCTTGTTACTACTTTCTTTCGGCTTAGCACGTCTCATGCAAAAAATGTACAAATATTACTTGGCCAAAAGCTTTCAACCCTTCATATGACAGAATCTCCAAATGGATTATTCGGATTTCCCGTAGTAACGATGTGTGGAACTACGGAACAAGATAATACTTGGGAAAAAGACTGGGAAACATTTTATAAGAAGCGAAGGTTGAGTCCGATTATAAACAAATGTTTACAAAATAACCCCTGGGATACCGAATTACGGAAACTAGGTGACATTGTAATTGATAAAGTTGTTCATCACTTACTTAAAGATGTTGAAGTAAAGCCTGTTTTAATCCATGGTGACCTTTGGAGTGGAAATTGGGGTATCAATTCGGTTACCAACGAACCAGTTATTTTTGATCCCGCATCATTTTATGGTCATAATGAAATGGAGCTGAGCATCATGACAATGTTTGGTAGCCCGAGTCGTGGTACTACCACTATTAAGTTATCGGTTTCGGAAATACTTATAAAAAATAGACAGTAACGTATTTATCTTCATTTAATTTTACAATTCTACAAGACTTCTTCAACGAATATCATACTCATCATCCACGACAAGAACCCGCATTCAAACAACGGCAAGGTTCGATTTTGTAAACGAATAGGATTCATTTTGGAATTCAAATTTAGCTGAAAATTTTTTTTTATTAGACTTATATCAGCTTTACCACTGGCTGAACCATTATTATTTGTTCGGTGATGGATATCGGGGAAATTCTATATCGATTATGAAAAAACTATGTAGTTTGGTTGATGAATAAATGTGGGTAAGGTTCAAAATTCGTGGTATTAATATTATTTTGCATGTCTTTAGATATAAAGGATATTAGGATGCAAAAGGGTGTGATACGAATCGATTAGTTGATTACGCAATATTACAATAATCGTTTGTATTTATAATAATACGATTAAAAACACTAGAGATGTTTTGTGTCTGATGATCTGAGTCTCAGAAACTTATGCATGTGCACTTAACGTTAAGTTCCAAGTTTGTTAACGTGTACATTTCGAGACCGTGTGCACTTAGGGAGGTTTGACTGGCTGATTAGTCGCTTCCGGCTTAAAACTACACATGTAGTTTTTTCAGTCTACATTTATAATTAATATATACTAAACGTAATATAAATAAGATGAAAGCTAAATGTAACATATAGGCTAGTGGTTTAATAATGAAGTTCTACCAGGTGTTTTTTGTTAATCATTTTGATTATCAGAAGTATTAGTAAAAGGACCTATCTAGACATTTTTATCTCATTAAAAAATACATAATTCAAGAAAGGTTCTGCCTAGCAGTGCACAAAATTCTATTGTAAAATGCCGGAGGTTCCGTTGACTTCCGGCGTAGTTTTGAAGCGCCGGAAATTTTATAATGTAAGATATATTGCAGGAGTTTCCAAATTTCGTTTACTAATTACAGAAGGTGGGTACTATATCAGGTGTTTCAAAAGTCTCACTACACAGTTAACGATGCAAACCAAACTCGGTAGAATCCCGACTAAATCCCAAATGGAATACCACATGGTGTGAATATGATTGGCAGATTATGAGATTATTAACACAGAACGTAGGGACCTCAGTTTTATGCGATGCGATGCGCATAATAGGCCAATTTTTAGCATAATGGATTTGACCAAAAATCGCATAATCATAATTTTTGTAGACCGTAAAAAATCAATCAGCAAATTTTTCACACAAAAAACGTTTTTTTTATTAAATTCCATAAAATTTTTTGTAATAATTATGGTAATGTCTTGTCAAAAAACCTTAGTATAAATCGGATTTTTATGCTAGTAGTGAATTTTTTTTTTTTTTTTTTGTGTTAAGATGATCTTTTTGGTCTTTTGATTTTTTATTAATGATTTTTTTGGTAATGTGATTTAATGAACCATTACAGGAGAACATACAATTGGTTACACATATAACTTTTTTATATTACCTATTTAAGGAGTCTGTCCAAAGGTTTCTTACCAATTACTGTATTTAACATTTCTATTTGGATATTCTACTTTAAATTTTCTGAACCTGCAATCTGTATTAACATTACTGAGTTATACCCAGATGCTCAGATTATTATCTTAATCTTATGATTATTTTATCCTTAAAGTAAACTTCTTGGAGCTTTCTGTATTTATTTTTATAACTAACTTAGTATTATTATAATAGATTCAATATTTGTGGGTAAAGTTATATTATTTAACTACTATGTTTTTATAGAGTTTATTTTAACTCTAATATCTATTTTATAGCATAAACTTAGTACTTTAGTATACTTCTGTCTTTTTATCAGATTTCCAATCCAGATAGTTTATATAGAATTACAACTAGTCTATCAGTATATTAGGTTAATCTAATATTTTTTTCTTTTAGTTCATTCTAGTGGTCTAGTTGGTAGTATTTTTAAGATTCTTAATCTAGAAGTTCTTTCTTAATAGGTACTACAATCTTGATATCTATTTTCTTGAATTAGTCTTTACAGTAGAATTATCAAATATTCAGTTATCTCTCTATTAGATCTTTTCAAATAGACTTCTTGTTATTCAATTTTAATAGATTTATATGATTATAAAGACTTATCTAGTATTTATATTATCTGATTATTAGTTTATATTCTTTTATATAATATTATATTTATACAGATGCTTCATGACCTATCAATTATACTAGTGTGATTACTATTATAAATATCCTAATCCAATTGCTGATAATAGTTATTATAATATAAATATTATATAAGTAATTATTCAAATTTTTATTGTCAATAGAATTTGAATATCCAATCTATTATTTAGAAGATTAACAATCTAATTACTTTACTAGATCACTATATTTTTATAAAAAATTTTTTTGTAAAATATCAAGTTATAGTAAATTATAAAAAAAAGCCTATGATTAATAATCATTTAAAATCAAATAAGTATATATCTAATTAATTAAAATTAAATCTTTTTAACAAAATAATAATAATATTAAAAAATATTTATTAAAGATTTTCTTAAGATAATGATTCAAGCTAATATATTTATTATAAAAACAAATTATTTTAAATTATTTTTATAAAATATTACAAAAATATTAAAAAATAATTATTTACAATATATATTTTTAATTAAATTTTTTTTTTGACTTTATTAAAGTTATTCATTATTGATGATTACTGCCTTTATAGTATTTTTAATTATAATTCTATAATTTATATAAGGTAAGTATACAATTAGTTATATATATAACTTTTGGTTATCTATTTAGTATTCTGTCTACAGATTTTTTATTAGTTGTTATATCTGTAATTTGCTAAAAAATTACTTAATTAAATATTCTAATTTTTATATTATAACTGATAGATAGCATAAAAGTTTCTGTATATCTAAATATCATATAATCTAATTTTGGTCTTTTCTTTATATATTTGTTAAGTTATTATACATCTTAGAATATATTATCTGATTGTAAGACTTAGAAGGTCTTTTTGTTAACTAACCTATTTATTTTTTATAAAACATTAATAGAATTCATTCTTGTAAAGTTTATTTAGACCTTAGTATCAACTTTATAATATATCTTTAATACTTATAATATATTTTTAAGATGTAGGTTTTATAGCTTAGCAGTTAAGCTTTTATACTCTTTATAGTCAAGGTTAATGATTCAAGTCTGACTAAAGGCAAAATTGAAAGATTTTAATTTCTGTAACCTAATAAAGAGTTTGTAATTGAATACAAAGCCCTGTAGTTAAAGTTCAAGTATAGTACAATAATGGAAATAAAAATTCTTGGAAGAAGACCTAATCATGGAGTAGAGGCATTATGTATAACAAGCAGTTGTTATAGAAAGTTATGGTTATAGAAGGATTGCATATGTAAGTCCTTTAGGTTAGATCAATATCAACATCCTTATATCTTCTAATATAGGCAGTACCAACATCTCTGAATTCAACTTGTGAAATATTTGCTTAGAAGGATAATTAACAGATTGTGCAAATAAGTCTTAATTGAGATCCAAGAAGAGGATTTGATTGGAAGAGTAGTCTAAAAGTAACCAAAACTAGAATGATGAGAGAAGCAGTGAACATGAGAATGGACTATAATAAAAGATTGGTCTAACCAAAAATTAGAAGCATCTCTAATACAGCCAAATAATCTAATTATAGAAGAGAAGATCTTAGAGGTAGGCATATAACTTCTTTATATAATGTAAAAGTATCAAATCAGATTTTGGTTATACCTATATGGAAGTCTATAATGAACAAGACTAGAGATTAACCAACCAATATGAGATAAGATCTGCAAGATAGTATGGCATCACTGGAGTCAGTGTAACTCTCTGGGTATAACCAGAATTGTTTTGCTGTTATTGTTAAATAAGCTGAGAGCTTGCAATATATAGTAGTATGGTATCACTAGAGTTAGAGGAACTCTTAAGTATAACCAGAATTGTCCTATTTGTAAGTATAACAAGTCTCAGTTTCTATCATAAAAGGAAGCATCATGTTGAAGGTTAAATGCAGTATCGAGTTACTGTATAATGTTAAGACCTAGGGCATCTGCAGAAATGGTGGCAGCAGATTTGGCTTAAGATACAAATTAGTCAAAAAGACTAATAGCAGCAGCAGATCCAGCTTGAGATACAGGTTTATTGCAAATCCTAGACCATTGTCAAAACACCTTAAAGGAATTAATAACAGGCATATTAAAGATAAAAAGATTATAAGAATCTGACATACCCGAGTAGGACTAATTTGAGAATGGTACAGTAATAAAAAAGTAAGAAATATAGAAAACAAAATAATACTAGATATAGTTAAATTAGAAGGCAGAAGAAACAAGACCAGATAAAAACATATAAGTGAAATATATAAGTACAATTTATAGAAGACAATACCCTAGCATTTGGGATGCTGTATTAAGTTCAGTAGGTATTCTTGTTTGTGTAGCAATTTAATGTATGCCATGACCGCAAGTGGTTGTCAAGGTAACTGTGTGCAGATATGCAATGGACATGCACTTAGATGCCATAAGGGTAATTAGGTGAAGTTAGTAGTGTAAAATTAGATAGTATATAGTACTAGTAATAATTGATCCTAAATGTAACTATAAATCTGTACAATATCAAATTAAAGCTAATAAACCAACTGGCATTGTTACTAAAGTTTAAAAAATAATAATAATAATAATAATAATATATCTTTGTTTTATCATCTAATTTTCAATTCAAATAGCCCAATAGGACTATGATCTGTCTTTAGTATATTAAATCTGGTTTGATATTTTTTTTTTCTAATTTAAGACTTTTAGTAGTCTAGTTAATGATATCTTTATCTAAAAGTTCTTGTCTACTTTATTTCTTTATATTAGTATTTGTTTCTTAGATTTAAGTCTTTATAGTAGTACTATCAAAAATCTATATTATTTTTTTATTCAGGTCTTTTCAAATAGGTTACAGTTTTTTATCAATTCTATAGATTTATATAGTTATAAAAACTTATTTTGTTCATAATTAGATTGCAGGTATAACAGCTAGTATAAAACCTATATATAGGCAGACTACTTAAATTAGATATCAAAAGTATATATATGACTAGATATACTCTCTAATGTAAGATAGCTTCTCTGAGGTAATCAGACTATGAGCTACCATGTTCTACTATACTAAATAAAAAAGCCCTAGTTTTCAAAAGACTAGTTTAATAAAAAAAAAACTTATTTTGAGTTTGTATTATCTGATATTAGTTTGTATCTCTCTATATAATTAAAATTATACAAATGCCTCTTAATTTGGCAGTCATATTAGTGTAATTATAGTTACAAACATCTTATTCTAACTTATCAACAGAAATTTATTACCATAATACAAATATATTTTTTTTAAATTTCATCTTTAATAAATTTTGAACTTATAATTTGCTATTTAAAAAGTTAATAATTTATTTACTTCATTAAGTTACTATATTCCTATTAAATTTTATTTATCAATTAATATCTTTATTTATTTTATAGATAAAATAATTTCTAAATCTGATTAATTATATAATAAATATTTTTTTAATTATATTAAAGAAACAAGATTTAAAAATAAATTAATAAAAATATTTGTATTACAATTAATGAAATTACAGATTATTATAGTTAATATTTTATTTAATTTTTTTACTAAAACTAAAATAGTAAAAAACTAGTATTTTACAATTTGTTCATACAATTATTTTTTAATTAGTTATTTCTATAATCATATAATCAAAAACTCTTTCTGCTAATCTGCAATACCAAAATTGGCACTAAACAAAGTATAAACAAATCTTAAAATCAAGACTAAGAAACAACAACAACACTTCTAAGAACAAGGATTTAGCATTAAAAAGATATATACTTAAATAGAAACAAATCTTTACTAATTTAAATACTTAGTTTTTATTACAGTTTTTAAAAAATTTTTGCTAAAATTTTGCACAATTTGTAGAAAATTGTCTTGTTCCTGAAAAACAAAAGCATGCAACATATAACCAGTAAACAATAACAACAAATAAACAATATATCCTATTTTAAAAAGGTTAATGGCTATATAACAACAATAAACTAAAGATTATGTGTTGGAATCAGATAAGAAAACAGGTTTAAAATAAGTATTAGACAAAAAGAGCCAATTAAATTAGATATAACAAATAAGATGAAAGAGTTGTATAAACAAGAAATGTTATATTGCATCAGCAGATTAGGTGCCAGAAATTTAAGGTTTATGAATAGTGAGATATTAACAGAAAAACTAAGAACAATAATGCCTTACATTTCAGATGATAGTGAGTATATAGCCAAAAGTTTAGCAATAGTAGATCCTGACAAAATCATAGCAATGAATTTACTAATCTATAGACAAATACTAAGTTTATTAAGACAAAGAGAGAACAAAATTTCAAATAACACCCTAATTAAAGAATGGACAACTAAAACCAGAATGACTTACAAAAACCCAGAAATAGTAAACTATATAACAAATATGAATAACAAAACAAATACAAAAAGAAATAAACAAGATAGAAGGTATAAAGAAAAAAAGCAAAGAAAAAAGACCTTAGAAGATAATTACAAGAAAACAATAACAAGAAGAAGAGCAACAATCAGAAGAAGAAAACCTAAGACCTTATAAATTAATTGAACTAACTAAAAACAGTACTTATATAGAAAAGAAAAACCAGCCAGATACAAAAATAACAAATCAAATATTATTAATAATGCTCACCAAAACAACTAAGAAAGAAGATATAAATAAAGAAAAGTTTAAGAATAAGAAGTTCAAGAAAGATTAAGAAATTTCTTTGGAGGATATACTCAAAGATAGTAAAAGAATGTATGAAGAGAAAGCTCAAAAAGAAATCCAAGAACAAAAAGAAAAAGAAAGCATTATAGTTTTAGAAAACCAAATTTTAGTAATATCATTAGAGGATAGTTTGTGTTATTAGTTAAAAAGTTTATTTAGAGCAAACATTTTAGCTTACAATCTACTAAATAACAACAAGGTAAAAAGAGTAAATTATCTAAATAGATGCTAAGAGACAACAAGCATATCAAATTGATTAGAGAAGAATTCAAAAGAAAAAACAACTGAGTAGTAATTAATTTTAATTGTGAATTTAATAGAAGTGCAGCAATTAAGAAAGTTAAAAGAAAAGAAAGTGATTGGCTAGTTATAATTCCAGATGAAAAAGTAAAAGATATTGCAGAAAAGATCATAAACAACCTAAAAATTACAAAAAAAAAATCAAACAAACCAATACAGATATTATAGAAAATGAAATCACAAATGAAAAAGAAGAAGAAATCTTAAAAAAAACATAAAATTCTGACAATATAGAATTTATTTTTAGATGTTAATGAAAAAAAAATAAGATATATATGCAGAAGGTTTCAGAATCTATACATAATACAAATGAAAAGAATGCAATATAAGACATTAGTAGTAATCAAAGTAAGCTTTAAAGAAAAAGAAAATGTAATCTAGTCTTTGTCTTTAGAAAACAATAAAC